AGGGTGCGGTGACCTAGTTTTTACCAAGATGCTAGCATGATTAGCATTTTGCTAGTATCATGCTAGCATGATTAGCATGTTGTTAGCATTATGCTAGCATTATTAGCATGTTGCTAGCATGATTAGCATGTTGCTAGCATCATGCTAGCATGATTAGCATGATGCTAGCATGATTAGCATTTTGCTAGCATGTTGCTAGCATGATGCTAGCATGATTAGCATGTTGTTAGCATGTTGCTAGCATGATGCTGGCATGATTAGCATGTTGCTACCAACATGCTAGCATGATTAGCATGTTGCTAACATGATGCTAGCAAAAATAAGCATGTTGCAAACATGTTTTAGCTAGATGCTAGCATGATTAGCATATTGCTAGCATCATGCTAGCACGTTTAGCATGTTGCTAGCATGGTTGCTAAGGTGTTACTAGGTGGTTGCTAGGGTATTATGGGTGGTTGCTAGGGCGTTGCTAGGCGGTTGCTAGGGTGTTCTGGGTGGTTGCTATGGTGTTGCTAGGCGGTTGCTAGGGTATTCTGGGTGGTTGCTAGGGTGTTTTGGGTGGTTGCTAGGTGGTTGCTAGGGTGTTTTGGGTGGTTGCTAGGGCGTTGCTAGGTGGTTGCTAGGGTGTTCTGGGGGGTTGCTATGCGGTTGCTAGGGCGTTGCTAGGCGGTTGCTAAGGTAATGTGGTTGGTTGCTAGGGCGTTGCTAGGTGGTTGCTATGGTGTCCTGGGTGGTTGCTAGGCGGTTGCTAGGGTGTTCTGGTGGTTGCTAGGGCATTGCTAGGCAGTTGCTAGGGTGTTGCTAGGGTGATCTGGGTGGTTGCTATGGTGTTACTAGGTGGTTGGTAGTTGTCAAAGATGGTTACTGTTGAGTTTGTAGCATTTTATTGGCATGATTTAGCACTTAGCTAATCAATATTAGCATGTAGCTATTCACTGCTAGCATGTGTAGGATGTAGCAAGTCCTGTTTGCTAGCATGAGTCAAAAGAGCCAACCCCCATCTCTATACGATGTTCTGATACAGAGATATAGGTCTTGCAAAACGGTTGCTAGGGTACTCTGTTTGGTTGCTAGGGAGTGGCTTGGCAGCTGCCAATCATGAAGGTCCAAAGTGAATGTGAATGTATAAACCAACCCCCATCTCTATACGATGTTTTAAAGCAGACATATAGGTCTTGCAAAATGGTTGCTAGGGTACTCTGTTTGGTTGCTAGGGAGTGGCTTGGCAGCTGCCAATCATGAAGCTCCAAAGGCTGCTTGTCAGTATAAATGATATAAACCAACTCCCATGCCTCTGTGACATTCAGAATGGAAGATATCCCTGTTTGGATTTTGGTTGCTAAGGTGCTCGACAATGGTTGCTAGGGCGTGGCCAGTAAGTGTTGAGGTGATTCAGGATTGGCTGTTTGCTGGCCCGAGTGAAACGAGCCCACCCTCATGTTTCTATGACACTTATATCCTGAGATATCCCTTTGATCTGTTTCAATGGAAGTCTATGGAACTTGTTGCTAAGGAGCTCTAAATGGTTGCTAGGGCGTGGCTTGATAGCTTCACAATGATCCTGAGAGACTGATTGGCTGTCTGAGTAAAATGAGCCCGCCCCTTTGTCTCTATGACACTGTGATCCAGAGTTATGTTCAATACAAAATCCCTATGCAATTTACCATAGTAGGAAAAACACATGCATTTCATGGGCCGTCCTACACCATAGTAAGTCAATGGGGCAACTTTGGGCCCCTCCTGCCCCTCAGGGGTGCAACTTTTACCCCATTGTGTGGTATGTTCTTACAGAGCCTGTCAGCCTCTTCAAATGTGGCAAATTTCACGTTTCTGCGACATCCTCGTTCCGAGCTACGACTCGTCAAAGTTTTTCGCAATGTTAAGTCTATGGGATTTTTTTGGGCCGTTTTTCGCCCCTGGGGCGACCATCGTACCCCCGATCTCTTAGAAAAGTCATAGCACACCATTCCCGAACAGGCCGCACGTTTTGACACCTCATTTGACACCTTTCACAAGCCAACTTAATTATAATGTCTCCTTGCTATATTTGAAACATTCATAATCATTACTTTTGCCGGTTCCTTGTGACAGCTTTTGCGTTATTGGCAGCGTCACCCTCTGGTTACATCAGCACCGAAAACATCGGGATTTTTTTAGACAATCGCACAACCCATTCGATATTCTATAATTAAATCAATAAATCAAATATTCAGGATTTAACACAGAGTAACAGCTCACTACCAGTGACAAAAGACACTGTAACAGTCTGTCACAGGCAATTCTAGTTTCATTTTTCATCAATTAATTTCTTAAATTATCCATTGACTATGTTCTGGCCCGCCATCTAGTGTCAAAAATATTTTTTGGCCCGATGCCAACTTTACTTGCCGACCCCTGTTCTAGGTATTATCAACTGGCCGGAATTTTGAGATCGCAATAGACGTGAAGGACTATAATGCGTTAAGAGCTCGCTCAAGTACTGCGGAGCTAAACCATTTAGTGCTTTGTAAGTAATCAACAATATTTTAAAATTAATACAATGTTTAATAGGCAGCCAATGCAGTGTTGACAGAACCGGGCTAATATGGTCATACTTCCTGGTTCTGGTAAGAACTCGAGCTGCTGCGTTTTGGACCAGCTGTAGTTTGTTTATTAAGCGTGCAGGGCAACCACCCAGTAGAGCATTACAATAATCTAGTCTTGATGTCATGAACTAATTGTTCCATATTTGTCAATGAGAGCATATGTCGTAATTTGGATATATTTTTAAGATGGAAAAATGCGGTTTTACAGATACTAGACACGTGACTTTCAAATGAAAGATTGGTATCAAAGAGCACACACACACACACACACACACACACACACACACAGACACAGGTTCCTAACTCAGTGGCTGTAAGTGGGTTAGGAATAGGATTTCAAGTGATTTTGAAAAAATGGACAAAAAAGAGAATCACATACCCCACCTTTAATTTTGTGAATTGGTAAGTTTCGTCAAACACACCATATCTAGGTTAAAATCTGAAATCATAGATCTATGATCAGCCCATACAGCCCCAACAGCTCCCGGGCCCCAAGCAGAAGCAGGACCCCACACAGCCCCAACAGCTCCCGGGCCCCCAAGCAGGACCCAGGCCCCCAACAGCTCCCGGGCCCCAAGCAGCTCCCGGGCCCCAAGCAGCACCCGGGCCCCAAGCAGCACCCGGGCCCCAAGCAGCACCCGGGCCCCAAGCAGCACCCGGGCCCCAAGCAGCTCCCGGGCCCCACACAGCTCCCGGCCCCCAACAGCTCCCGGGCCCCCAAGCAGGACCCGGGCCCCCAACCGCTCCTGGACCCTAGCAGCTTTTCATAAAGCAAGGTTATTATTATCATTAAGAATATTAATTTCATTCAGCAGAGTCTTTTATACTCAGAAACAGGATGTTTGTTCATCCTGTGATATGATTCATCTTCTGCTGTGCAAATTATTCACTTGTTTCTGTTTCAATTTAATTTTCAGATGGAGAAGGAATAAGGAAGGAATAAATATATTTGATAAAATCTGTTTATACTATTATTATTTTTTTATTTTTTTATTTTTAATAATTTGTGCTTTGAAGCACCAAATGATGGTAATAGAAAAATATATATTGGTTCCTTCAGCAAATTCACAAAGCACACCCAGATGTCCATAAATGTCCACAAATGCCAACATTTGTCCATCGCACAACTGGCCGCTCCCCGAACATAAGTAGAGTGAACAAAAATAATGTCCAGAGAGACGTATAAACATATAAAAGAGGGCTAAATCGCCATGGGTTATGCCAATCTGTGCTTCAACCATAAAATATTAAAACAGAGGGCAAATTTGCCATGTGCTGTGTCCAATTTTGGAAAGAACGAGGGTAGGTTTAGTGCAGACGTGAGAGGGACATAAATACGACACACCAACGTCTATATCAGGGGTCGGCAAGTAAGGTTGGCATCGGGCCAAAAAAATTTTTTTACACTAGATGGCGGGCCAGAACATAGTCAATGGATAATTTAAGAAATTAATTGATGAAAAATGCAACTAGAATGTTAGTGAGCTGTTACTCTGTGTTAAATACTGTAGTAGGACAGTCAGTGTGGCAGTGTCCGGGTTTTATACTGGATACATTAATAAAGCAGTAGGGTTGAGTCACGATTTTCGAATATTCGATTTGTTGATTTAATTATAGAATATCGAACAGGTCGTGGGATTATTGTCTAAAAAAATTCCCATGTTTTCGGTGCTGATTCGGTGGTGACGCCGTGTTCATGTAAACCAGAGGGTGACGCTGCCAATAACGCAAAAGCTGTCACAAGGAACCGGCAAAAGTAATGATTATGAATGTTTCAAATATAGCAAGGAGACATTTTAATTGTTTATAAGTGTCTTGTGTCGGCTCAGTCGGCTGCAATAGTGACCGCAGTAGTTAACGCGCCTATAGAGAGAAATGCACATTTGGATTACATAAGCAGAGAGTAGTCGGTTTCTTTTCGTTTTGAATTGTTTCGTTTAAAATTAGACATTTTTAAGCTTTCTATATATTTCTGGTGTCTGTAAGGCAGCTTAAACGCTGAGTTTCGGTTAATTTATGAGACGAGCTCCAGTTCACGAGCAATGCAATCTCGCCGGCGCCTCCATGTCCGATTATATTGTCTGCTATATTTGGTTTTATTAAATACAAGCAATTGGTTGATAAAACATTGATTAAAAATAAGATACAAATGATACAAAACGAAATTAAATTTTTAGATAGGCTTTCTACAAAACAAAACTTAATGAAGTGGTCAAAATCATGTCTGACCCACATGTCTCCCGATATATTGCGGCATCTTGCAACACATCCTGCCTTGCTAAAACACACATGTGGGAGATGCGGAATGGATAAAAATAACTAAAAAAATAAAAGAGGACTTGAATAAGCCCATTAATGGCATTTTTGAGTCATGCTCTTAACGAACTATGTTTTATTTCCTCTTTCCATATTGTG